AAATCCTGTCTGAACCATAGCCATCTCACTAAAACTTCACCATCACCTCCGTAATCTGGATAATAATCGTTTATCATGTGTTGTAACACACCCACATCTGTATTATTTGAGTGAGATAACAGAGGTGGAACTCCGGGGAGGTGCAACGCAGACATGCACGTGTCTGATAATGGCAGATATCAATAAATATAAACAAACCTGCCAGCACATTAAATCGCCTCCATTTTTTCCCCTCCCACACCATGCACTACGCCTGAGCAGTTCACAGATTGTGAATGCTGATGATGTATCACTGATGTATATGAAAGGCATCACAGCATCTATTCCGCCCCCTCCTGTCCTCAGTGGGCTTTTGGAGAATGACCTTTCCAGGAATTTAAACAGGAACGTCACATTTAAAAGTCTTTAGTCTCTTTTGCATGTACAATATGCTGACAGTGCTCAGTTTATGACCAACAAACCAACTAATAAATATATGAGACAGTGTGGGTATAAGTACAGAGAAAAAAGTAAGTCCGGTCTCTGGGACATATGGCTGGTGATGAAGAGTGTGCCTCTGTGGGTTATGTAATGCTGCAGTAAGTCTTCTCACTGAGGTGCGACATATCAGCCACTGAGCTCACTTCAAAACCACAGCAACAGAGTAATGTTTAAAAGAAGTGTAAGCACAGTGGGAAAGGAGCCCCTGTACCAACTTTGTGAAAAACATGGCATAAAATTCAAAATGAGCATATAATTTTTTTTAATAAAATACGATTTTTAACATTTGACATATGTTTTTGTGTTATTTTTATCCTTGGACATGGTTAACAACAATACTCAGGTAGGCTGTGATGTTTAAACGATCAGCTGCTATGCAAAAAGATATCCACCACACTGTTACATCACCACAAGCGGCCTAAGCCAGTGGTATAAGGGACGATGGATCCATGCTTTCATGCAGTTTACACCATATTGTGATGCTATCATCCGAATATCGCAGCACAAATCAAGACTCATCAGACCAATTTTGGTGACCAATGACCAATTTTGATGAGCTCGCGTGACCTGTAGCCTCAGTGTTATGAACGTAGCTGACAGGAGTGCCATCTGGTGTGATCTTTTGTTGCCTTGTGCTTCAACATTGGATGTGTTGTGCATTCAGAGATGCTCTTCTGCATACCTTGGTTGTAATGAGTGATTATTTGTCATCAAAAAGGGATTTTCAGCCAAAGAACTGACCGTCGCTGTATATTTTCTATTTTTAAGACTATTTTGTATATGGTTGTGTGGGAAAATCCCAGCAGATCAGCAGATTTGCATGTTTCAAAGTCACGCACATCACCTTTGTTCCCCACTGTGATACTGGGTTTAACCAGGCTGTGATGACTTCATCTACATGCCTAAATGTGATTATCTGATTAGATTAAAAGCAGTTGAACATTTGTACCTATTAGAGTGGCCAGTGAGGTTAGGGTTAAATTTTAAATGTTATTATTTTTTTTAAATTGTACTTTCACTTACCTTCTCAACTTTGAATAAACATAAATAGTTGCAGGACTTTTACTTGTAAAAGCATTTTATTTAAATTGACTGGTGTTACTCCTCCACCTTTAATCTCTAATACGGCTGCTTCACATATGTAAGCCTTGGTTTAATTTCTTTATTTGTGTTTGGGGAAGATTTGGGGAAGATTTGGGGATGTTAGCCTGAGGTGAGGCCAGCCTTTACAAAGTTTCTGATCACATGTGTGTAGTAGCTGTCCCGGCAGTGTTGCAGCTCCTCTGGGCGGACTCTTCTATTCTAACCACCGCCTCTTTCTCCAGCTGCACTGGGACAGATTTATGCTTCAGCTTTTTATTTATGAGCGCCAGTCCACCCTCCTGGACTCCGCTAGGACGGTGCGAGCGCGTCAGAGAAGTGTGAAGACGGCATGGGAAACTCCGTGTACCCGAGATGACCGATGGTTTGGTCAAAATAGTGAAGTTTTTTTGTCGCCAGAGAGGGAAACTTAAAACAAGGCTTGTTTTTGGAGTCCCACCACCCCTCCCTCCGCTCTCCCTGTAGGATTTGATTCAAAGGCGAAAACCAAGATGGCCGCCGACTCCGTGCAGGTAGGAAAAGTTGACAACTGTTGCGAAAAGTGCGCAAACTTGCTCCAGAGGCGCAGTTAGAAGTTAGCTAACAATTAAAACGCTTTAAAACGAGGCTTGCTGTGAGTTAGTCGTGTGTTGGAGGACTGCAGGGCCTCTGCTAGGTTCCAGAAGGCTGTCTGGGAATTATCCATGGATTGAGGCCTGGCACACAATTGTCCAAACTAACTTTCAAACCGGGAATTTTGTGCGAAAACCGCCGTGTTATTTAATGTAACGGACCCTGTTTTAGTTAACGAGGTTTAGCGTTTGCGTAACCGTAAAAGCTCTTAAATAGTGGCCGTTTAACGTAAACGTACAGGTCTAACGTTAAAGTTAACCTGCGTTACTTTTTTGGGAAAATAAACGTTGCCGCCGTGTGTTTAGATACTGGCAGTGTGCAGAAAATGTGGTAAAACTAGACAAAAAAAAATGTCGTCTTTGTAAAGAAAATGCTTTGAGTTTTCTTTTCCAAGCTCGTTATAAACTGGTTGAACGTATAACCAGCGACACCACAGCAGCCAGCTTAGTGCCAACTGCAACAGTAACGCTAGTTTCTGTTTTTAAAAGAGGCTGGAAGTTAGTGTTACGCTCTCCTTTTTTTGTTCGGTGTGAACAGTTATGACTCACTGATTAATACAGTTTCACTCGAGTGACGTCACTCCCCCCTCCTCCAAGTGCATCTTTATATCAGAAAAACTGAGTTGTGCAACAGCTCATCCATACAGCTCGTTATCCGATGGCACTACTTTATGCGTGACCTCCAAAACTCGTGTTCAACTTGAAAGCTGCCTCACCTCCACGGGTGCGAGAACCTAATGCTGTATTTGTCATGTATGGATGACTCAGACCGATGAGGTGTTTAATTTGTGCATCTTAAATTATACATGACACATGATCTAGGTAGATTAAACAACACAGAATCTATACTTGTTTATACTTATTATATTTAAACAGGATTGCCTGGGAGCAGTCGTGTTTGAATGCTGTACATGTTGTGTAAGGACAGACATGTATGTAAGTTAGATTAAGTTCACAGACTAATCTTACTTTGAGGACTGGTTGATTTGTGTAGTTAAAAGAGTGTAACCGTAATTTGGTTTGTACCTTTTGTTTTTCTTTAGAGCTAACAAATAACAAAAAGCAAAACCTTCACCGTAATGACTAAAACTAGATGATGTATTAATACTTCAACCAGACTTTTAACAACTCCATCACAGTAAGAGAATCGTGGACATTTGGATAATAATTTCGGTCTCTGTTTCAGAACCGTTACACCGGTTAAATCATAAAAAGATTTACTTTTACTTTCTGAAAGGTTAGCAGTATAATCTGGAGTGAAATCTGACACTGCACATTTATGGTCGTGTGTGGGTGATGATGAATGATAAAAACAACAGTGAGCATAATGTAACAGGCAGGCAGTGTCAAATTTGTGTGCATGAATAAATAACAGTAGGACATGTTGGTGTCTCCGGTGCTGGGGTCTTGATCCTGTTAAAAGCCACATGTAGTTTTTAATTTTATCTTTGGCATTCTGCTAAATTTAAACACCTGCTTCTGGAAATTGGAGTCGAACCACATGCACTCAGCAGGGTGACAGGTGCAGGAAAGTGGTTTACCTCTCATTCAGGTTTTTTGGACACCTACTGCCTGAGGAGCTCAGAAATGACCTTTAGCTGCTGTGACCTGACATGTGAGGCGTTCCCTGCTGTTTGACTTGCTGTGGGATATGTACACTGCTTGCGTGAAGGTTGCACTTGTAAGAGCTATCTTTATTAGCTTGTGTTGCTATTTTTGGCGGCAGCACAGAGTACAGGGCTGTGGCCAGTGCTCTGCAGCCAGCTGTGGGGGTAAGATAGACCGGGTGTCGGGTTGTAGGCTGCGATTAGGCCTCGCACAGAAATGGCAAGGGCTTGGCTTTTTTAGCACAGACTTCGATAGCGGGCTCAACCTTTGCATTGTCCTTTTGTGTGAGTGGAGCTCTTGTTGTTAGACTTCTACTTCTACCTGAGGTTCAGACCAAATGTTTGCTTTTACCTCAGTTGCCTTTCATGTCCCGGAGCTCTAAAGGAGCTCATTAACAAAGGTCAACATTTGTAGGTAACCCTTGCCCTACTCATTTAAGAATATGGCACCTTTTTTGTGTGCTTTTCCTTAGACATGCATTAAGTAGTTCCCAGCATGACTGTTTCTGTAACATCAACTAAAATATGTATCCACAAGGTTTTTGGTACTGTTTACATTTGTTGTGAAGCCTTGGATGTTTCACAGTGCAGCCAGCAGAGCCACACTGGCAAGTTCCCTCCATTCATCATAAACTGTATGTATTGTAGCGTGAGTGGAAACATTTGCTTACAATTCCTGCTCCGCTCGTCTTTGAACTTAGTAAGTCTCGAGTTCCCGGTATGATGTCACTCCCCCTTATGGGGTGATACGTTCTAGTGTCAAGAGATGATAGTTACAGGTAAAGGAGCAAGTCAGAGAGGTATTGCAGTGAGAGGAGAGCTTGGTCTTTTTCTTTTATTTGATCTCAAAATTAAAACACAGGCCCCGCGGGGTCTTCTAGCTGATTAATTTCTGCCTTATCTGATTGGCCTTTCATGGATTTCCTTGCATTGTTGTACCGTAAAATAGGCCTCTTCTGGTGTCCTCCTGCTATCGTCATTCCACATTGGGCAGATGCAGCTACAGTGCAAACAAGTTTTGCAGAGCAGCCAGCTTAAGAAGAGGACTCCCCCACCCCCCTCCCAGCTGTGACCTCCATTTTACCTATGAGTCGACCAGGATATGTGCAAACTATAGTTTCCTCTAAAGATAGTACTTATAGAAGAGAGGCCAGGATGGGGGAAGGGAAGGAATAAGCTGATGGAAAGCCCTCATCTTACCAAGCGTGATGCGTTTTTCTTAATAATAATCTGTCAGTCATATGCCAGGGATTTGATTCAGGGTTTGGTCCAGGTACATGTGGTTAGCTCCTGATGTACCTTGTGTAATGGTCAATTCAGGTACATGGTGATGGTCCTAGAAATAGCTTTTAATGTGAAACAGGAGTTCAATCCTTGGAAAGGAAGTAACTGTGAAGAGAGGTGGAAAACCAGAAATGCAGCTTGGATAAAGGACAATATACCACAGTCTTGTTTGAGAATTTCTTTCTC